AGCAACATTCTTATATTATGTAGGCACAATGAGGTTTACATACAACTTCATGCATCACATGTTCAGAAAATAGCGGCGACCTAGAGGTGAGGAAGTTAGTATATAGTCCTCTAATGAACTAAAAGGTTATCCTGAATGTCAGCATGGTGCCTAAACCAGTTTCCGCTTATTTCTTCTAGTTTTGGGCAGCAGTTAAGGAGAGGGGAACCAAAATTTTAATGTAAAGCTATGGGGCATGCCAAGCAAGCTGCTTGAGGCAGCAGAGTTTTCTGCAGCCTGTGGACCTCTGTCTTACAGAAATATTATCTAAGAAAATCCTTTGGATATCTTGTATATATGCTAAATATTTTAAAGTTCATCTTTAGTTCTTTTGTCCCTAAAAAAGATTTAGGGAATATTTAGCCCTTTCTCCCAAAAAGAGAATCCCTGAGAGATTATAAAAACACATTTAAAGATATTAATTAGTAATATGTAATACTGGAGCAGTTAACTTTTATCCTTGAAGGTCTTTTTGGTTGTTTACTAGGATTAAGATACTGAACTTGATCTCTCAGGTAGATCTCCAGGGTAGGAAAATGGTTGTCACTGAGTATCCCTAATATTTTGTGACACTTGGATACCATGAAGTGATGTCTTTGTCAGAGTTTGACAGAAGTTCTCCTTGTAAAACTTCAAAGCAGGACAGATTACCAGGTGTAGCTGGTGGGTTAAAATAACTAACCTTTATGTAAAAAGGAGCCCTTTATAGGGTTTGCTCTAAGGTCAAACCTGTTTATATATATTTATAAAAGAGAACCTGCAGAGATTTGTTCCCATATCAGGCTGTGCTCAAGATAGAGACAGAAGAGTCTGTCATGTATCTTTCATAGTCCCTTGACCTTGTTTCGCAAATCCAGAGGTAATCTCTGGACAGATAGACGAAACCATGTACTTTGTTATTTAATTCATTTTTTGCCCTATTGTTTTTCCTATGTAGAGTCCCTGGGTGGTGCATACAACCAAGCAGTTTAAGCGCTCGACTACTAACTGAAAGATTGGAGGTTTGAGCTCACCCAGAAGCAACTTGGAAGAAAGGCCTGGCAATCTGCTTCTGAAAAATCAGCCATTGATAGCCCTGTGGAGCACAATTCTACTCTGTCGTACATGCGGTCGCCATGAGTCTGAATTGACTTGACAGCAACTAGTTTATTTAGGATGGATCTATTGCCATTCTCTCTAATTTGAATTCATTTAGAAGTAAAGTTAATCTCAGATAAGAGATTCCCCCATCCTCATTTAGTTTATGACATGTTCACACTTGACCAGTTACCATCTCCAAGGTAGTACCATGCATTGCTTGGCTTGAGGCTGAATTTTTGAACTTACCAAGATGGGTTTAGATGAATCCAGATCCCCCTGTGGGGCTGAGGTTGGTGTCAACTTCCCCTAAGTCACAAGGCTGTGTCAGGGAGGTACAAATGCTAGAATAAAATCAGGAACCTGGCAGGAAGGAGAAAGAGGAATGCATACTTGGTAGGCAGCCAACAGCATCAAGTACAGTTATAGTCTTGCAGTTTCCAAGGTCATCTTGTTTTATTCCTTTAGTATAAAGGTGCTTTTGACCTTTTTCAAGGCTTCAAACAGATTATTAGTCTTTTAAAAACACATTCCCATAGATAGGAAACTTAGAGGGCAGTGAGTTTGTGTTAATAGGGGAAGAACAGTTTGGAAAAGGAAGTTGAGAATGGCTGCACAACTTGAAGAATGTAATCAGTGTCCCTGGGTTGTACATGTAGAAATTGTTGAATAGGTGTATGTTCTGTGTATTTTCTCAGCAACAACAACAACAAATAAAATAAATTGTTTTAAAAAAATGCATTCCTCATCTCTTGGCCTTAGTGATACCTTGTTAGAAATCTCCAAACATGAGAGCCAAGTAGAGGAAGAAGCAAATGTGCAGGCTTGAGTACAGAATATGAGTCAGAGGTCCAAGTAAACTGCTGGTGCATGCACCCACGGAGCCATAGCTGCAGGAATATGGAATGCTGGAGGCCAGGGACGCTGTACAAGTTGTTGACCGCATGCTACTGTCTGGAACTTCTCTCTCAATGGATCTAGAACTTCCATTGCCATCCGATCACCATGAACACCTCTGAGAGACCCACCTTGCTTATACCAAACCAGTCCCTTTGGACCCTCTGCCCTGGACGAGTGACATTCCGGGCTAGTTCTGTTCTCAGTTGTGACTGAGTGTAGCATGTGCACAATAAATTATCTTTTCTGCTCTCGTAGCTGATGAATTAAAAAAAAAAATGCTTCCCCCAAATTATAGTCTGGTGTTCCCCACCAGATTATGAGTGCCTTGAAGCTGGCACCTTACCTGATTTGTCAGAGTATGCTAAGCATCCAGCACAGGTGCTGCAACATCTTAGGCACAGAATGAATATTTGCAGAATAAATACGTAGATCTTATCCTCTGAATCTCCCCGGATTCAAGGACTTCACACATTGTGTAAAATAAAACACATATCCACACCTGTAAGAGTGTTTCATAAAGTTGCTACCTGTAATAGCGCTGCCTCTTTTTCTCCCGATGTTCAGGGTTGGCATTTTACTTTAATCTTATTTTTACAAAGTTTATGACTATCTTAAGTAGCATTAACTTTCTACCTTTTAGATTAATTTAACGGGGGAGGGAGGGCGATATTTTTCTTTTTTAACTTGCTACTAATGTAATTTACGGGCGTTTACCAAACTTTTGACCACATCCCTGGGCGGCACAGATGGTTAAGCAATCGATTACTAGCCACAAGGTTGGCAGTTCGAACCCACCCAGTGGAGTCTCAGAAGATAAGCCTGGTGATTTGCTTCCAAAAGGTTAAACCAAAAAAAACCAAACCCATTGCTGGCGAGTTGATTCCGACTCATAGCCACCCTCTAGGACAGGGTAGAACTGCCCCATAGGATTTCCAAGGAGCAGCTGGTGGGTTTGAAATGCCCACGTTTTGGTTAGCAGCCAGGCTCTTAACCACTATGCAACCAGGGCTCCTCTAAAAGGTTGCAGCCTTGAAAACCCTATGGAGCAGTTCTACTCTGCACACATGGGGTTGCCACAAGTCGGAACCATAAATCAGCACTATCGTGCTTTTACAGGGGCATTGGTGTTTCAGTGGTAGAATTCTTGCCTTCCACTCAGGAGTCCTGAGTTTGATTTCTGGATCATGCACAGCCATCACTTGTCTGTCAGTGGAGGCTTGCATGTTGCCATGAAGCTGAACAGGTTTCAGTGGAGCTTCCAAACTAAGACAGACTAAGAAGAAAAGGTCTGGTGACCTGCTTCCAGAAATCAACCAGTGAAAACCCTATGAATCACAATGGTCCAATTCACAATCAATCATAGGAATGGCACAGGAGCGGGCAGTGCTTCATTCAGGCGTGCATGGGGTTGCCATGAGTCAGGGGCAGACCCAACAGCAGCTAACAACAACAGCCACATTTTTAAATAGATTTTCTGCTCATTTCTGCTTTGACCTCCTTTAAGTCTGTTTTTTTCTGCTACCTACCCCTGATGGCGCAGTGGTTAAGAGCTGCTAACCAAAAGGGCGGCAGTTCAAATCTACCAGCCACTCCTTGAAACCCTATGGGGCCTCTACTCTGTCCTATAGGGTCGCTATGAGTCAGAATTGACTCAACGGCAGTGGGTTTGGTTTGATGTTCTGGTGCCAGGATAATAGGGAGTGAAAGGATAATAGAAAACGCGAGTACATTTTCAGCAGGCTTTGTGTGTATTTACTGTGCTTCTTACACCATCACTGTGGTGGGTGGACTTTTTACTGGTCCAGTTTAAAAGGTAACCTAAAAAATTTTAGAGGCAAGTGATTTTTCTAGTCTTTGTATTATCTATTGCTGCTATAACAAAACTACCACTAGTTTAGTGGCTTAATATAGCACAAAGTGATTGTCTGACTATTCTGCATGTCAGAAGTCCAAAATAGGTCTTACTCGGCTAAAATCAAGGTGTTGACAGGGCTGCGTTCCTTCTGGAGGCTTGAGAGGAGAATCAGTTTTCTTTTCCAGCTTCTAGAGCCCTAGTGGCACAATGGTTAGTTAAATGCTCGGCTGCTAATAGAAAGGTCATCAGTTGAACCCCCCAGCCACTCTGCAGGAGAAAAGACCTGGTGATCTGCTCGCATAAAGATTACAGCCTTGGAAACCCTATGAGGCAGTTCAATGACAGCAACAGAGGCTACCCACATTCCTTGATTCATGGGCCCTTTCTCCATCTTCAAAGCCAACAGTACAGCATCTTCAAATCTCTTTCTGATGCTGGCCTTTCTGCCTCCTTCTGTCTCTCAACGATCCTTCTGATTACATTCATCCTATCCAGATAATCCAGGATAATCTCCCCATTGCAAGATCCCTAATCACTTCTGTAATGTTGATTCTGACTCGTGGTGACCCCTTGTGCATCAGAGTAGAACTGTGCTCCATAGGATTCTCAGTGGCTGATTTTTTCAGAAGTAGATGGCCAGGCCTTTATTTTGAGGTCCTTCCAGGTAGACTCCGACCTCTAACCTTTTGGTTACTAGTTGAGTGTGTTAACTGTTTGCACCACCCAGGGACTAGATGTAAGGCAGCATATTCACAAGGTGTGGGGATTAGGACGTAGACATTTTTGGGGGGTGATTATCCAGCCTACTATAGTATACTGCCCTAGCATAGTTCACTTCCCTCAAGTTTCCAGGCTTCTATATACGTGGGAGAAAAGGTTTTGATTTTTTGGGGTGTCTTCTCCTGATATTTCTGTCTTGGATGTTACTTAATTCTATGAAGAACTAACGTCTCCTGTATTTATGTGGGCAAATTGAAGTTGGCTGATAGTGATACTGTAATAACATAATAGCAGGGGAGGCCACACTGGAAATGGAGACCTATGAGTTTTAAACAGTGATTTTTACAACTTGCCACATAGTGACATGTTCAGTGAACTCACAGAGTCTTTTTTACCTTTTGTCTTTTAGGCTTATATACAGAAGTACATTGTAAAGAATTATTTCTACTACTACCTATTCAGATTTTCAGCTGCTTTAGGTCAAGAAGTATTCTACATCACCTTTCTTCCGTTCACTCAATGGAATATTGATCCTTATTTATCCAGAAGGCTGATCATCATATGGGTTGTAAGTATTATTATTTGCTAACCACTACTAACTACTTGTACAATTACCTGTTTTGTTAACCACGTACTTTGTGCATATGAGTTTTGTTTTTTTTTAAATCACTTAGAGTAGAATTTGTTGCCTGATTTCTTTGGAAAAGTAATTTAGGCAAAATTAAAATGGTAGGAACACAATATTGTCTTTAGTTTGTAATCTCATATACATTGTACACCTTCCCATGGGTGAATAAAACTAGAGGAGGGGAGAAAAAAGGACCTTTCTGAGAACCCATGTAGGGGTAGAAAATGCATCCTCCCAAGAGGTCCTTACATTTTATCAAAGGCTGAAACTAGAAGGTGTCGACTAATAATTCCCGAAAGTATTAAGCGACTGCTCTATGTGCATTGGAGAGACAAACATGTAAAGCAGGGCACCTGCCTTGAGAGAACTTTTAGTGTAGTCAGGACAGCCAACATGCACAGAAAAACCGAATGACAATTCGAAGTGGAGAGGTGGAACCCTTTCCCATGTTCTACTTGGGGGTCTTATCGTTTAACTCTGTTGAGGGCCAAATGAGTTCTGAATTTTTGAGGGGGGTGGTTAGGGGGTAGGTTGACAGTTGTGAGGCCATAAGGCATCCTAAAAGTATATGGGCTTTGGCATCAGGCCTGAGCTCAAGTGCTGCTCAGCCATGTCTGTGTGCCCTTGAGTTGAGCCTTATCTTCCTCATCTATGAAATGGGTTAATAATGTGTGTCTCCCAAAATTGTTGTGAAGATGTATGTATCCAGTGCCCACAGAACTCAGCTTGTGGGAAGGTCTAAGTGGTCACTATTTGAGCATGATAATGCATAGTGACTACTCTGTGACAGGGCAGATCAACTATTCCTAAGATCAGAGGTGTCTAGACAGGACAGGGGGGTTCAGGGGCAAGAGAGGCTGCCAGCACAGCTATTTCCATGACTCAGAATTCTGTCAGAAGCCCTTGGTTGGGTGTAAAGGAATCTGGGTTCTTGTATGGCTCTGCCTCTGAGAAGCTATGTGATCTTAAGCAAGTGACTTTTCCACTCTGGGCTTGATTGTTCCCATTTGTAGAACAAGTTAGTGTAGTGTGGCCTTGATCAGGCGCTGTATGCTCAACTGCCCTCAGAGGCCAGGGAGAGAAAATAGTGAAGGCCTGGGTGGGAGAGGTGGCCAGGGTGGGGGTGTACATGTGAGTTATTCACCGTGTGGCCCCAGGAAACTGGGGAGCAGCGGCCCCTCCACTCCTCAGTGACTGCCCTGAGGAAAAACAAACTAAGAGTTGTCAGGTCTTCCTGTTCTTCATGTGAAATCTCCAGGTTTTTAAATGTAGGCTGACATTTTTAAAACATTGTATGTCAACAAAGAACCCTTGACATCTGAATGCATGAGCCCTGGTTTGAAGCCTCTAGCCTAAATGACCACCAAGATCCCTAGAGCTTATAGCTATGATTGTTTGGCCCTGAATTCTGTTTTCTCCTTTTATCTCTAACACTGCTAGCCACATTACCTGTTCCCCATTCCCTCTCTCAGTCTACCTTCTGAAATTGAACGTCTGTCTAAAAGTACAATCCAAGAATCTGCAAACACATGTGCGTGTTGTGAGCTGTAAAGGTGACTGTTAGTCCAGCTGTCCCTCTCCCTTTCTAAAGCTAGCTTCTGTATCTGTGGAGCAGTGATGGCAGCTGGAGCTGGCCAACGGGCTTAAGTGGGGGAGAGAAAAAGAGAGGGGGAACATTCCTTCTGGGCTTCAGATTTGAAACCCTGCTTATTGCCTGAGATTAAAAAAAATTAAAAAACTTTTATGGCAGTTGAGTGGATTGCAAATGATGAACTTTTAATAATCTGGGAATGTCTGATAAAGTGTATGATCAGCTCAAGGCCAATTCTCTCCTCCTGTGGGGCTGGGAAATTTTTCCTGAGGGGCTGGGAAGACCTTTAGACTTGGTAGAGAGTGGTGGTTAGGGTTGTTAGGTGTCATTAAAAAAAAAAAATTGCCATTGAGTCGATTCTCACTCATGCTGACCCCATGTGTTACAGAGTAGAACTGCTCCATGGGGTTTTCTTGGAGTGTTCGCCAGGCCTTTCTTCTGTGGCTGGGTGGGTTTGAACAGCCAGTCTTTAGGTTAACAGACAAGCATAAACTGTTTGTGCCACCCAGGGACCATTATTGATGGTTATTTTACGCTTAGGATTTCTCATTTCAAAGGTGCTGAAATTATTGCCTGTTTGTGACAGAATTAGAAGTCTCATGTTAGAGAATGATCAAATAAAATCTGCACCTAAGAAAGGAAAGAGTAAAATTTCAGTCTGCACTTTGTCCTAAGGTTTGGTGAACTGTTACTTGAGTTTTAAAATGGAGCATGGCCTCGTCCATGAGGCAACCGTGCTGAGAGTTACGTAGTTCTTTTGTGTGGTCAGCTATGGCTACGTCTCTAAGGGCAGTGTGACAGGGTACAATAGTGTGTGCATTCATGGCACATTCTGGTGGAGAGAGAGAGTGTGTGTATGTGTGTCTTAGTCATCTAGTGCTGGTGTAACAAATACCACAAGTGGATGACTTTTAACAAAGAGAAATTTATTCTCCCACAGTCTAGTAGGCTACAAGTCCAAATTCAGGGTGTCAGCTCCAGGGGTATGCTTTTTCCAATTGACTCTGGAAGAAGGTCCGTGTCATCAATCTTCCTTTGGTCTAGGAATGTCTCAGCACAGGAACCTCAGGTCCAAAGGATGCACTCTGCTCCTGGCGCTGTTTTTTTGATGGTAGGAGTTCCCCATGTTTCTCTGCTTGCTTCTCTGTTTTGTATCTCAAAAAAGATTGGCTCAAGATGGTACCTAATCTTGTAGACCTCATCAGTATAACTGCTGCTAACTCCATCTTACTACATCGTAGGGATAGAGTTTACAACACATAGGGAAATCACATCAGATTACAAAATGGTACACAATCACACAATACTGGGAATCATGACCCAGCCAAGTTGACGAATATTTTTGGGGGGACACAATTCA